AAAAACGCAGTTGAACATTAAAACTTTAAAATCTATATTGAGGGTAAAATATAATTTGACCAACTCATGTGAGAAATTTCACGACATTTTAATAAATGATCCGAATCTATTGCAAAGTATTCACTCGGATAAAAATATGACCGTGAAAGAAAATCATAATTTTTTTAATAAAATTTTAAATTAATTAAAAAACATAATATTCAAATTATATTTTTTACAAATATTTTTATAGTTACCAATAGTTAATAATAAATATGTTTTTGTATATTTATAGACAAGTATATGAATGCATACAATAAAATTTACTTTTTTTTTAATTACTGGTCTGCTTGTTCCGCTTTGTCTCAAAGAAAATGTGGTCACTTAACACTGTCATACATAAAATTCAATAATATCATCTCGCTCTGTGACATCTATTTCAATGAATTTTAGTTTCTTGTTGGGCTTAGATGTACTCATGTTTTGTTAACCTACTTATAGATTACTTACAAATGAATCGTCATCACAACCTTGTTAAAATTCTATCTACTGTGTTCTTGACAAATCTTTTGTCTTAACAGATCAGTTTTAAACAGATACTTCCATTAATAAATAGTACGTTCACCATTCTTTGATAATCCAACGAACCTGATCGTGGCAGCATTACTCACGACGAATTCTTGTTGTTGATAATTAATTTTAAACTAAGTCTTGTTGCTCAAGAAAGTCGCATAAAATGCCATTTCATCTTAAACATTTCATAACACACAGTGCAAATAATTTTAAATATATTATATTGGGTATAAACCGCTGAACACTAATGTAAATTCGCGTACAGGTCTGACAGATTATTTTTATATTATATTTAGATTTTAGACAAAATATTATCCAATTGAGAAAACAGAATCTACTTCCATACAAAAATAATATACACATGCCCGAAGATTAAAGACATTTTCATGAGCATAGCGAAAACTGTACATGAATACAAACATGGTAAGCTTATAACTTGTCCGATACTTAACACAAGATAATAACCAAGCACAGTTTGGAAATAACACTTCCATACATAAAATTCAAGTCAAAACGTAATATAATCTTTTAATATTTACACTTTAAATGTAAAAACCATTCTTTTTGTGAAAACCATTCTTCTAAGGAAAAAGAATCTTCTAAGTAATAGTAGCAAGTATTTTAGACAGAACTGAGGCATAATAATTTGGGTGTAGATGAAATACTTATCTATGCTCAGGTAATTTAATTTAGTAAGAAATACGTCCTCCTCAAAATGTAATTCAGAAATCGGAACGCCATGCCACATGTGCTACAAATTTCTGGGGCCAGATTGTTATATTTTTTCTTCAAAGCGCATGTTAGGCTTTCCTTATTTTGCAGCAAAAGGCTAACAGTTGCAGTTCATTTCCCCGTAACATCCAGCAAGTGCTCCTTAATTTAGGAAGGTTAATGGAACATGAAGGCCATGGATATCCTCATTATCTAAGAGAGTCTGTATTGCTTTAGTTGAATTTGGTGAGGCATTATTATGCCTAAAGAGAAAGAATTTGCCCTAAATCCAGTTCAATATGTCCACCATGAGGTTGCCTCACAGCATAATCCCATTTCCACAAAAACGATGCCTTTCTTGAATGCATTGAAGTTAGTACCAATTATTCCTTATATACTAATTACAGTGATGTCAGAAATCCGATGACAGATAGATTCTACTCATTTGAGGAAACTTCTACTGCATCAACTAGTTTCTCAATGGATTTCAGACCACTGCAAATGCCTTCTATGATGCCCTCTGGATAGCTCCAAATAAGACAATCGGTCTTCCAGCGTACGGTCCTACGAATCTGCAGGGCATTCTCGTTCTTAATTTTTCTTTTTTACATGCTTAATAAAAGGGGACTTAATAAAAGTGATAAGTTGGCTGTCCGTGTAGCATCGATTGCGTTTCGGTTAAGTCTTAAGACAAACCTTTACGCGATTTTATACACTACACCAATTTTATTGATTATTACATCTTTATCTAATTTTCTTATAATTATCTTCCATGTAAAATTATCGAATTGATGATGTCTATGAGACCTGACGAAAATTTTATGTGTGCAGATTTATTCTTTTGCACGAAGAAATTCTGAAAAACGCTGTCATCGGTAGTGCTATTTCTCTTTCATTTGCTTTCGAATGAATTCGTGATCTCGAAACCTCAGAATCGGAAATCTGCATTACTTGTTACTTCACAAGCTTTCTATTACGCATACTTTAATTATACATATCACAGCATGTTGATGTATCAGATTTTAAGGCGATAACTTCGCATAAAAAAAAAATCATCCTTATGCTCAGAACCTGGATGTAAACTGCTCGCGCAAAAAAAAAAAAAAAAAAAAAAAAAAAAAAAAAAAGGGGGGGGGTATCTATAATCTATATCTCCCGTTCTACAGGGCCGATTGACAAAATTCAAATTGCGTTTTTCATGTTTCGAAAGCACTATTTAGGATATATATTAGATTTACATATAGCATTGTTCTAACAGGTATTTTGACACAAAATCTTTCTGAAGCAATATATCAATTTTTTCTCCATATTTCGATTCTACGACTTCCATTATGCCTAGATATTAAATTTTGTAAAATTCACTTAGCGAACTTCTTAATATATAGCAACCTACTTCCCTTTCCCTTCCATTATGCCGGAGAGGGAAAAAAGGCACATCGTTCATACTTTTTTTACATTGTGCATGAGCGGAAAAAAAAGTCACATCGTTCCCACTTTTAAATAATTTTAACAAAGTGCCTAAACCGCATTTGATGTTTTACCGCTTTCAAAAAATATGCCAAATTTCAAAACGAGGCCAATATATAAATTCACGTATATCTCCGGAAATTCTGAAAAAAAAAAACTGTAATTTTTTGCAGGTATGCTTAGAAATACGTCTACTTTAAGATGACGGTGAAAATTTTATAAATAATGATTCAAAACCTTTTTTTTTTTTTTTTTGAAAAATTTATAAAAATTATTTAAAAGAATATAAGTTTAATAAAAAAGAGAGATTAATAAATATATACCAAACTCAATTAACACTGAGGAGCTAAAATTTTTAGAGCTAATTTTTTAAAAACTAGTCGTGCGATTTTTACAAAACTCAATAGTTTGGCCTAATTTGAGTCGTAGAACGCAAATATGGAAAAAAATAGTATGTTATTTAAAAAAAAGTCCGATTTTGTGTCAAAATACCTATATGAGAACAATGTTGTATATAAATCTAATACATATCCTAAGTCGCGCTTTCGAGACATGAAAAATGTAAATTGAATTTCGTTAATCGGCCCAGTAGAACGGAAGATATAGAACTGTCCCCCCTTTTTCCCCCCGCAGTGTACATTGCCTATCACAGTTGATCCAGTGAACGCATTGATGGCGACACTATACTTGATATGATTTTGGTGCTCAGAAGATTGTATAAAGAGAAGTGAAGCATGCGATAAAAAATGTTTGGTTGCACGTTTTTATTTCCTTAACTATGCATCGTAGACTTATACAGTTTCATTTATAAATTTTCCTACAAAAAAGTTTATTACCATTTTAAAACGATGGCCGTATATCTGCACCTTAATGCATTCGTCTATAACATTTATTTAGCCATCTTATCACTGAGAACGTTGCCCAGGACACTGAGAACATTGCCTAGGCGGCGACCGAATTACACGAGTGCGAAAGGGGAAGCTCCATCCCAGTTTTGATGAAGACCATTCCGAAAATGGACCTGGACCCGAGAGTCTCCCGCCTTTCTTAATCTCTCCTCAAACCTCTCGAGAGCTCCGCAGTATAAGTCCCTATGCCACACGGATGCTATACATTTAAAAACATTCAAGCCTTCTCCAGGATTTGAAGCCGGCCCAACTGCAAGTTAGGCAACTTCGCTATCCATTATATCAAACAGGGCGGAGAAATGAAAATTTAAAAAAAAAAGTCACAGGTCAACGCAAGTCAAAAACGACCGGCTAGTAAATGATCTCCACAAGTCAAAAAAGTTAACAAATAAAATGTTTATTATATTTTAATAATAAAAAAATATTTAAATTGTTTTCCAGTATTTATAGCCCAAAGAAGTTTAATAAATTTGATCAAAAATATCAAAAAAGAAAACACAATTGTACATCTAAAATTATTTGCTTTGACAATTAATAGTTCATCTTGAGTAAAACAGAACTCTAGAGTAAACTCATAACACTAGAGTTAAACTAGAGTACTGTAGAGTGCTTTAGTTACTAAGCTTCAGATCTAAAGTTTCCTAGCATTGTTTTAATAAAATAGCACTTAAAAGTATGAAATTCCTAATATACTTTCAAAATTTTCTGTGAATATTTGGTACCTTTTGTATTTAATGTTTAAAAGCATACTGAATATCATACTGGTTTATAAAGACCATATAAATCATTAAATTTCGTACTAATGGAATTCGTTTGCTTCCAATCCTGAAACCATTTTCATAAAATTATTTTACTTTAGAAAAATTTGGAATTAGAAATAAATTCCAAGATTAATATTTAAGAAATTTAGCCGCCTTTTTAAAGCACTCTTCGTATCGAGATGGGATCTTATATGCAAATTTGTGAGTCTAATTGAAGCGTTTGCGTCAAACACGAATTTGAAGTTGTTAAATAAAAGTAAATTTTCCGAGTTTAGGATTTCTGAACCGAATTCCAAGGATGCGAAAACAAAACATCTTAACCGATGACCTTATAATGCTTTGCTTTTAATTCTCCTACGCTATTTAGGTTTTTTCCTTTGTGATGTTTTTCTCACAGTATTGCCGCTTCTTGGTCAATAGTCGAAAGAATTTAAAGTTAATTTAATGAAAATTCGTAAGAAGTTATCTCTGATTGCAGTACTGTCAGAACCCAATACAGTTTTTTTTTTCAAAGTATCACTGGCACGATGAACACGGTAGAGTCGTATTCCTTCAGACGAAAGTTGAAATATTTGTCGAAAGTTGAGAGATGAGAAAGAAACTAAAGACAAAAGAGAAAGATTACAAAAATGCTTAACTTACCACAATGAGAATTACCCGCTTTATTCTCATCACTCATATCACCGCAATTATTATAGCCATCACAAGTCAAACCAGACCATATACAACGACCATTTTCACACTGAAAGTCTGAAGGCCATACACAAGGAGCTTCTTGAGCTGTAACATATATACAAACACACAATTAGTATTTCGAAATAGAACAATGTTGGGACAATAAACTGCTTTTGAAAATTAAATGAGGGCTGCTTTTTGGTACACCTATTCATACGACACGGGTTTCACATAGAGAGAAGATTTCAAATGCCTTCTTAATTTCAAAATAAAAGACAAATTTTTATTGATAATAAAAGTAAGCTTGTAATTATTTATTTTATTCTAAACAAAATAGTGTAAGTCTAATACGAGAGGAATGCGACATAATTTTCATAAGGTAGTCTATGAAGAAAATAATAAAAAGTATTAATGCCAAAGCACAATTTTCAACTTACCGACTGGATGGACAAAGTAGGATTTTCGCTGGTTTTGAGTTAAATATGGAAGGGAAGAATTGTAAAGAAACTTCTGCATGGTCAATTTTTAAATGAAATGATTGCTTAGGAAAGTCAATTTATTAATTAGAATTAACTAATATAACATTAATTTGCTAGTAACGTCAGTTAATAATCATTCTAAACAAGAGTAAATAATTTTTGCATCTAAGACAGTCATGTAATTATTTAGATAGTTTCGAAAGGGGGTTTATACTTTGAGAATAACTCAGGTAAGGTGTCCGCCGATAACATCGCGGCAAAAACATCGCGGACGAAAACATCGCGGAGAAAACAACGCAAGGCGAAAACGTCGTGCTACAAAACATCGTCGGAGAAAACATCGCAAAGAGAAAACATCGTAGTTCTAAAACATCGTGGTACAAAACATCGTCGTCGAAATTAAAGCGGTTCAAAAACTTCGCAGTTTGAAAACATCGTCGTTGAAAATATCGTGGTAAAAAATAAAGTATCTACAAATCATCGCATGACGATAACATCGCAGACATGCTTTTTTCAGACATGCTTTAATAACTGTAAATGGATATTCCCATATAATGACTTGTGAGCGCAAGGTATAAAGAAGGATAATTTTTACTTTCACATTTTTTATTAACTAATAAATTTTTTGCTGAAAAAGTAAGAAGGAAACTTAAGCATAGAAAATTAAATGCGTTTTATAGATTATACTTTTCATGAAAAATTACCAGTAAAAACTTCATAAAAATGATTTATTAATGGCCTTTGTTAGTTAGCTATGCCGGTTTAAAATTCTATTAAGTGCTATAAGTTGCATTAATTTTCTATGCTTAAGTTTCCTTTTTATTTTCTCAGCAAAAATTTATTAATTAATAAAAAATATGAAAGTAAAAGTTATCCTTCTTTCCATCTTGCGCTCACTAATAATCTTGCGCACACTAAACTCATTATGGGAATATCCATTTACAGTTATTAAAGCATGTCTGAAAAAAGCATGTCTGCGATGTTATCGTCATGCGATGATTTGTAGATACTTTATTTTTTACCACGATATTTTCAACGACGATGTTTTCAAACTGCGAAGTTTTTGAACCGCTTTAATTTCGACGACGATGTTTTGTACCACGATGTTTTAGAACTACGATGTTTTCTCTTTGCGATGTTTTCTCCCACGATGTTTTGTAGCACGACGTTTTCGCCTTGCGTTGTTTTCTCCGCGACGTTTTCGTCTGCGATGCTTTTGCCGCGATGTTTTCGGCTGTAACCCTCAGGTAATCATTGAACATAATTAATTATGTTTTCATAAATAATGGCGACTGTCGCAAGGGTTCGTTTTTGGAAAAGTGACCGCCTCGAGAGGTCGTCGTTCTAATTAAATGATGCTCTAAAACATTCTAATTGGAAATTTTACTCTAGTTCTTTTCATTTTCGATTTGTAATGCCTATGCTCCAAATTTCGCCACTAGGGGCTTTGCTGTCGTTTGCATTAGATCGGACGCAGTCGCTTTTCTATACCGTTACCTCATTTGCATTGCTGTAGCTGTCTTCGCTCGCAAGAATTTTCGGGTTAAAGGGACTTTTCTACGCACCCTGTATATAACAATTTAGTTCTGCATGACAGAAAGCATCTATTAACTTTTTAGTCATGGCCGAAATAATGATAAATGTGGCAGATAAACAGGGTGCGTATTAGATGTTGGGAACGAATTCTTTTACGAATAATTTCTTGAACATCTCTTCTTGTTTTACACAACACTATGGGTGCTGTGCGCCTATCACATCTTTAAACAAGAGATAAAAGCAGCAAAGCGATTAATTACGCCCCCGCGAAGCGAAAGCAGGGAAGAACAGCGATTGCGTGTATTTAGAGGTTGGGGTATATACAAAGTTGATAATTTGGTTGGGGTATATACAGTTTGTTTAGGTGACTAGAGAAGAAATATATAGTATTTTAGATATCAGTGACGCAGTACAGATTCCAGAAAGGGGACGCAGCCAAAATAAAATCACGAATGCCTGTTGTTAAAATAAAGTTAGTAATTTTCTTTTATATCTTACTCCTATAAAAATGTTTATATATATACAGACACAAACAAATACAGACAGAAATATTTATACTAGTTGAAGGATTAATTGTATTACTCTTCAACTAGTATAACTTATTAAGATAATATTATTTTTAACAATAACATTCTTTTAAATGCTTTTGATACTAGTAATGCATCGAGAATTGTCCCGCCTTTCTGAGACAAATTCTGCTTTATTAATCTTGCAGCAGACATATTGCCTGAAATCTTACTATTGTCAAGGATCATAGTGCATTTAGAAATCTTCTCTATTAACTTTGCATTAATTTAAATAGTTCTAAAAGTTTCTATCAAAATTCTATTCTTTATTATATCATTAAAATTCTCCTACTGATAAAGCGATTGTCTTTAACTTTTATTCCTTAAAAGTATATTTAACAACAAAAGGCTCAAATACTGCCGAAATGTTTCGAAAATATCAAATGTTTCCGTCATAAAAAAGTCAGAACCAATATTTACTACTGTAGCCTTGCGAGGTAAAAAAAAAGTATTAAAATTACATGTGTGCTTCATTAGTACACCTGTAATTTTTTTATATTTTTTATTCGGTACGCATAGTTATTAAACTTAGTCAAGTAAGAAAATGTTTTCGGTAACGTTAAGCCGTTTGGTCTTGAGGTTTAGGGCGAAGAGCAAATCGACATGTTTCTGACGTAGATTCCTTCTGACCTGCAAGCAGCCTGTAGGCAGTGAAGACCATGCGAAATCCGACCTGTTCTTTCTTGTCCGTGCAAGATCCGCAACGAGTGTGGTAGCGAATGACAAGAGGGTTTCCGCTGCCGGACATGGGAAAGCTGTCGTTCTCTTTTTCACAGTATTCTTCACACACACGAGGTTCACTCTCATAGCCGCAATGTCCATGGCACACAGGTTCTGCACGGCTGTAACGGCAGCAATCTCTACAGAAAGGAGCAGTGATGTTGCTACGGGATGAGTCGTTGTAGATCTGAAACACAAAATCAATTTTAAGCAATCCAAAAATAAAACTAAACTGTTGAAGGAAATGTATTTCAATATCTTACTCACATCTAAGCCAACAATCAATTGATGAAAACTCAAACAATTAGTTCTAATAAATCAGGGTTTCTTAAACTCTTTTCACTCGCGACCCCTTTTTATCACTGAGATTTTTTCGCAACCCCCAGAACCCCATAATATTTATAAAAATTTTGTGGGAGCCCAAGTATTGCGCAAATCCGACACACGCGTGAGTGAAACTGTCAATTTCTTCACTTTTCTATAATATACTATTGCAGTTTTAGGTCATTAATTTTAATTTGTAATTTCAAGCCATACAGTGTGAAAATTTAATATTAAAGACAAATGACATCGTCACTGCAAAGCAATGTTTTTTATATTATAAGAATACGTTGAAACGTTTTTTCGTTTCTTGTTTTGTGTGATTGTCTTTCTTTATCGCTTTTTCGATCATTGTAATATATTTGGTAATTGTAAAAATATTATAATAAGTTAAAGAAATATCAAAACTGCTAAAAATTTTGGCGACCCTCTGCTGCAGGTCCCACGACCCCCTTGGAGGTCGCGACCCACAGTTTAAGAAATCCTGTAATAAATCCTTAGCATAGGGTGCTCGTTGATTATTTATAAACAAACTTCTTTGTTTTTAAATCAAAAGATTTAAACAGGCCTAAGTGTATCAACTATTATAATAATTTTTATTTATGCGTATATGGGTCTTGGACAGGTAACAAACTTTTTATACAATTCTGAAATTGGGCGCTTTACAAAACCTTTATAATTTCCATAGATCAATGCCAGCTATAAATACATTTTTCCTTTCTTTCTATTTCTAACACTTGAGGATTGACTATAAAGAAGAACAAAGCGAAGGAAGAAGCAAAACCTAATAATGTGTATTTTTTTGGCTACTGGAGTTTAGCAATGGAAGTAGGAGAGAGGGATGAGAAGAAAATAAGACTAACCACTGGTTGAAATCTTTATAAAAGTAGTTTCTTTCTGTCTAACTATTTTCAATTTAGAAAAGTAGCTTATTCTTCCATTTTAAAGAAACCATTACCACGACTGGTCCAGAACTTATATATTAGTAGAATAAAAGATATTATAATTGTTAGTTGATAGTCGTATGCCCTGTCTAAGTCTTTTGTTTAAAAACAAAGAAATGTATAAATAACTGAGGAGAAATCTATGCCTAAAATAGCAATAATTTGATTTGAATTTCGATTATATTACTGATGCAGGCCTCCGTTCTGTTTGTTCATTTGATATTTATGTGCATTTATTCCTGCTTGCATTAATACTAAACTTATTGTGATACAAATAAATGTTTATAATTTTCTACAAAAATGCAGTAAAAAACATAATGAACACCCAAATTAAAGAATGTGGATTAAACATACAGTGTGTCCACAAAATCCGACAGCCCTAACTCCAAATAGGAACTATTTATATAACATATAGGAACTGAGCGCCGCCTGAGATAACCACTGACCTGACTTTGTT